CAATCAGGTGTGGTGACCTTGACCTTCATTTCAAGGTCACAAGGGGACTTTAACGTTTTACCCTTGTCAGCGAAATATCTCAAGAACCGTTCACTGGATTTTCATATTCATATTCACCAGGCGACTTTTTCAGCAAGATATCTCAAGAACCATTCACTGGGCCACTTTTAATCTCTCTTAACCTGGTATTAATTAACCACAAGTTTTTAAAGAATAAATTTGGTGTTCCGCATAAGACTAACCACAAATCTTTCATATGTAATGGTTAAAAGAGTAACAAAAAACAAAGTTTAGTGGTTCTTTAACAGATTTTTGTCCTCAGAAAACAATGGCAGGAGGGAATTAAAAAAAAAATATCACCAGTCAAAGCAAAAATGCACGTATATCACTTGTATCACATTAACATTTGGGACCGTTCATAATTTATGGCTTGGGTGTGTGTGTGTGTGTGTGTGTTTGGATGGTGATTTTAAGGGGGGGGTCACCAATTTTGTTCTGGTGAGGTAGGGGGTCATCAATTTTGTACACATTAGTGGTGGTCCAATTGATTGAAATAATCGAAGATTGGTCGTAATGACTAAACGACCAAGCAATCGATCACATTTTTCATAATCGAACACAAACAATTTTGGAACACCTGTTTGATAAATAAAATAACGCTAACCAACTATTTTCGATGATTGATCGGATGTAATGAACCAATCATCAATTATAAGATTTTAACAAATTCCCAACACTAGTACACATGCACTAAGGGGGTCATCAATTTTGTACATAAAAATATTTTAAAATTATATGTAAAAAAAAAAAGGGGGGGGGGTCATTGATTTTGTACATGACATGGGGGTCACTTACTTTGTGCATAAATTTTAGGGGTCAGTCACATTGTACATGCTGCTCCATAAAAATCATCATCACCCCCCTAGCCATAAATTATGAATGGTCCCTTAGGATTTATTTTTTGGGCGGGGTAAATTAATATTTATTTTTTCTCTTATTCTTAGAAAATTATGAATATTGGTCTGGCCTTGGGGAACATTTTCACCTTTTTTGAGAACTTGATGGGATATTTTTCAATTTATTTACAGATATTGTTATATTTGAAGATATTTTGGATGTCAGTACTGATGGTAAACATGCATGGTGCATATGTCTACATCTGAATGCATGAACATGATACATTTCATGTTGGCAATTACTGTATTTACCGCAATAAGTGCTTATAATATTGACAAAAGAGTTTTTTAGTATATCCCATTCACAGTGAATTAATTACTTTTTGTTATATCTGTAACTGTAACTCAAATAGTAATACAAATATGGCAGGCCAACAGATGTCCATTTGCTTAATGCTGTCAGCTGTCGGTGAGCACAGCCCTGTGCAGTTCTGTAACAATTACAGGCAATTATATACTGTAGACAATTAGTTGAATTACCTGCCCTGCTGTTGTCTGTAATAAGTTTTAGGGCCGTGGGGTAGTCAAGTGGTTAGCTCGCTCGCTCACTCACTCACTCACTCACTCACTCACTCACTCACTCACTCACTCACTCACTCACTCACTCACTCACTCACCTCACTCACTCACTCACTCACTCACTCACTCACTCACTCACTCACTCACTCACTCACTCACTCACTCACTCACTCACTCACTCACTCACTCACTCACTCACTCACTCACTCACCACTCACTCACTCACTCCACTCACTCACTCACTCACTCACTCACTCACTCACTCACACACACACACACACACACACACACACACACACACACACACACACAAGTTGTAGGGATGTAAATAGCTACAATTGTCGGTCCATGGGGTTTCAGCTGCTTTTAAATGGCAAGTGCTTGGCTCAGTTGGACATTGGCTTCTGTGTGCAGGTCCATTACGTGTGTAAAACCACCACTCTGTCTTTATGTAGACTTTAACCCCAATAACCTGACCTTTTTAGCATTGACAATTGGATGAGTGTTCTGCAACCCACGAGGACCCAGAGCAGACCCATGAAGATCCTGGTTAGAATTGGTCATCAGCAACCCATGTTTGTTGCAAGAAGCGACTAACGGGATCGATGGTCAGACTCTCTGACTTCTTGATGCATATTGTCATATCCCAATTGCGTATATCTATGCTCATGAAGCCCGTTTCTTGTGTCCCCTGCCGTGTTATTGCTGGAATATTGCTAAAAGTGGCGTAAAACATCACTCACTCACTCACTGTTGATCATTGGATTGTCTGGTCCAGACTCGATTATTTACAGACAGCGGCCATATAGCTGGAATATTGCTGAGTGTGACCTTCAACAACAAACAAAAACAAATTAAAGTATGGGACATTGCTCATGATATTAAGCATCAATTTGGCGAGAGATGTGATTGTTACAGAACACCACACCATAGGGGAAAGGTTACTGCCTCCTTAATTAACATGCGAACAATGTTTACAGGGCCTTGAACCAGGGGAGTTGCCCGAGGAGGACAACCCTGACAAGATGATACTCGATGATTAACAAGTTAACAATGTTAACAGGGCCTTGAACCAGGGGTGTTGCCCGAGGAGGACAACCCTGACAAGATGATACTCGATGATTAACAAGTTAACAATGTTAACAGGGCCTTGAACCAGGGGTGTTGCCCGAGGAGGACAACCCTGACAAGATGATACTTTGCGATGATTAACAAGTTAACAATGTTTACAGGGCCTTGAACCAGGGGAGTTGCCCGAGGAGGACAACCCTGACAAGATGATACTCGATGATTAACAAGTTAACAATGTTTACAGGGCCTTGAACCAGGGGAGTTGCCCGAGGAGGACAACCCTGACAAGATGATACTCGATGATTAACAAGTTAACAATGTTAACAGGGCCTTGAACCAGGGGTGTTGCCTGATGAGGACAACCCTGACAAGATGATACTCGATGATTAATAAGCTAACAATGTTTACAGGGCCTTGAACCAGGGGTGTTGCCTGATGAGGACAACCCTAACAAGATGATACTCGATGATTAACAAGTTAACAATGTTTACAGGGCCTTGAACCAGGGGTGTTGCCTGATGAGGACAACCCTAACAAGATGATACTCGATGATTAACAAGCTAACAATGTTTACAGGGCCTTGAACCAGGGGTGTTGCCTGATGAGGACAACCCTAACAAGATGATACTCGATGATTAACACGCTAACAATGTTTAGAGGGCCTTGAACCAGGGGTGTTGCCCGATGAGGACAACCCTGACGAGATGATACTTGATGATACACACGCTAACAATGTTTACAGGGCCTTGAACCAGGGGTGTTGCCCGAGGAGGACAACCCTAACAAGATGATACTCGATGATTAACAAGCTAACAATGTTTACAGGGCCTTGACCCAGGGAGTTGCCCGAGGATGACAACCCTGACGAGATGATACTCGATGATTAACACACTAACAATGTTTACAGGGCCTTGAACCAGGGGTGTTGCCCGAGGAGGACAACCCTAACAAGATGATACTCAATGATTAACAAGCTAACAATGTTTACAGGGCCTTGAACCAGGGGTGTTGCCTGATGAGGACAACCCTAACAAGATGATACTCGATGATTAACAAGTTAACAATGTTTACAGGGCCTTGGCGGCCGTGATATTGCTGGAATATTGCTAAAAGCGGCGTAAAACCAAACTCAGTCAGTACAGGGCCTTGAACCAGGGGAGTTGCCTGATGAGGACAACCCTGACGAGATGATACTTGATGATTAACAAGTTAACAATGTTAACAGGGCCTTGAACCAGGGGTGTTGCCTGATGAGGACAACCCTGACGAGATGATACTTGATGATTAACAAGTTAACAATGTTTACAGGGCCTTGAACCAGGGGTGTTGCCTGATGAGGACAACCCTGACGAGATGATACTTGATGATTAACAAGTTAACAATGTTTACAGGGCCTTGAACCAGGGGTGTTGCCTGATGAGGACAACCCTAACAAGATGATACTCGATGATTAACACGCTAACAATGTTTAGAGGGCCTTGAACCAGGGGTGTTGCCCGATGAGGACAACCCTGACGAGATGATACTTGATGATACACACGCTAACAATGTTTACAGGGCCTTGAACCAGGGGTGTTGCCCGAGGAGGACAACCCTAACAAGATGATACTCGATGATTAACAAGCTAACAATGTTTACAGGGCCTTGACCCAGGGGAGTTGCCCGAGGATGACAACCCTGACGAGATGATACTCGATGATTAACACACTAACAATGTTTACAGGGCCTTGAACCAGGGGTGTTGCCCGAGGAGGACAACCCTAACAAGATGATACTCAATGATTAACAAGCTAACAATGTTTACAGGGCCTTGAACCAGGGGTGTTGCCCGAGGATGACAACCCTGACGAGATGATACTCGATGATTAACACACTAACAATGTTTACAGGGTCTTGAACCAGGGGTGTTGCCCGAGGAGGACAACCCTAACAAGATGATACTCAATGATTAACAAGCTAACAATGTTTACAGGGCCTTGAACCAGGGGTGTTGCCTGATGAGGACAACCCTAACAAGATGATACTCGATGATTAACAAGTTAACAATGTTTACAGGGCCTTGGCGCGTGATATTGCTGGAATATTGCTAAAAGCGGCGTAAAACCAAACTCAGTCAGTACAGGGCCTTGAACCAGGGGAGTTGCCTGATGAGGACAACCCTGACGAGATGATACTTGATGATTAACAAGTTAACAATGTTTACAGGGCCTTGAACCAGGGGTGTTGCCTGATGAGGACAACCCTGACGAGATGATACTTGATGATTAACAAGTTAACAATGTTTACAGGGCCTTGAACCAGGGGTGTTGCCTGATGAGGACAACCCTGACGAGATGATACTTGATGATTAACAAGTTAACAATGTTTACAGGGCCTTGAACCAGGGGTGTTGCCTGATGAGGACAACCCTAACAAGATGATACTTGATGATTAACAAGTTAACAATGTTTACAGGGCCTTGACCCAGGGGAGTTGCCCGAGGATGACAACCCTGATGAGATGATACTCGGTGATATCTTCCTTGGCGTCAGTCACATCAGCGACCAGTGCAAGAAATATGACGCTGACTTCCATGGAACATTGCCAGTAAGTTGACACACCCACAGCCAATGTTGCTAGCCGTTTACAACTTTCGATCCAATGAGCGTATGTTGATTATGACTAGACATGGATCCGCATGGCCTGTTCCGATAGCTTGTCAATGTACCCGATTGTGGATTGTTGCATGCAACACCAATCACCGGTTTGTGTGGTGCAGAATCTCTACAGTCTGCAGTCATGTAGCAGGAGTATTGCTGAGTAAGACCAAGAACAACACAACCAGTAACCTGACACGCACCTGCACGCACAGATCAATGGCAGATTCATTATTTTTGTTGTCACAGTAACTGTTAACTGGTGACATTATTCATTGCTGTTGAAAACTGCGTCTCCTTCACTGAACTGCAAAAGAAATGCAAATCGAGTCTTACGTTTTTGAAATTGGTACACAAAAAAGTATATAATTTGTTTGTTATCGTTTGTTGTTAAATTTTTTCTATGTTATCATTTCTTGACATTATCTACTTATTGTCGACTTTAATGTTATCAGCATTTTACATACAACTTGTGTTTCTCTTGCTGTTTAGTATATTTCATTGTTCATTATGTTCTTGTTGGAATTAACTACCGCCATTGAAAGGTTTAGTACCACAGCATCTGTGAGGTGGATAGTACATTAAACCAGGACTTCATCAGAACATCAGGCTAGCAGTTTAACCTAATGCCCTAGAATCGATTATTTAGTGCTCTGCACAGGATGTTAAATTGTTTAGCTGCTCCTTATGTAATGTGAACTGTCCGTGGCATATATATATGAAAAAGCATTATAGACATATTTTTCTCAGCTCGATCAATCTTTAGTCTTCTAGAAGCTTCCTGATTACTCCCCAATTGCATAGATCGATGCCCATGGTGTTTATAACTGGATTGTCTGGTCCAGACTCAATTATTTACAGACCTCCGCCATAAAGCTGGAATATTGCTGAGTGCGGCGTTAAACTAAACTCACTCACTCCAGTGATTCTCAGTTTAAATATAGCAACTAATCCACCACTCCCTCTACAGAAACAGTGTATAGCCCTGTTTTACAATGAATAACAAAGCACCATTTTGCAATTTAATTTGAAAGCAGGAACAAAATTTGTACAAATTACAAGACCTAAATATCATCATATTGTCATTAAAGCGCATGGTCAGGGGCTGTAGAGTAACCTAGTGGTTAGAGTGTTTTCAGTCCTGGATTTGACTTCCCATGTGTACTATGTGTTAAACCCATCGCTGGTGTCCTGGCTATGATGTTGCCGGAATATTCTAAAAGTGGTGCTAATACTGCTATACCTTAGTACTGACTTGACCAGTGTGATCATCAGCATTCTAGACAGTCCCATACTCGGGACCTTATGCAAAAGCGATGGGACACTAAAGTAGGAAGAAATAAACTGATGAATTGAAACCAACAATTGGTTATACCTACTTGGGTTGTCAGTCAAGACGTGACGAGGTAATTTTACGACGATGTCATATTGGCCACAGTCGGTTTACTCATGACTATCTGCTGAAAACGGATGGGGATGTGTGTCTCTTGCGATGAGGTTTTCACCATCAAGCATATTCTGCTCGAATGCGTGGACTTATCGTCTGCAAGGGACTCACATTATGATGCAAGAAACCTGAAAGATCTGTTCTCCCGCGTGAGCGCTCATCTGATAGTGAACTACCTGAGGGAAGTTGATCTGTATCATAAATTGTAACTGTGAAATGTGACTATCATAAATTGTAACTGTGAAATGTGACTACCAAATTGCCTGCCTTTAAATTTGGTGCTATGACTTTTTCTGCTTTTAAATGACAATGTAATGAATATATGTTTTTGAAATAAAACTCACTCCGAAAGTATTTACTTACAATGTTTATTAATGCAAACTTGTTCTCGTCACTATATGGCTGGAATAATGCCGATGTGACGCAAAACTCAACTCAACTCAACTCTAGACAGTCCAACATTGCTGGAATATTGCTAAAACTGGTGCTATACCTTAGTACTGACTTGACCAGTGTGATCATCTGCATTCTAGACAGTCCAACATTGCTGGAATATTGCTAAAACTGGTGCTTTACCTTAGCACTGACTTGACCAGTGTGATCATCTGCATTCTAGACAGTCCAACATTGCTGGAATATTGCTAAAACTGGTGCTATACCTTAGCACTGACTTGACCAGTGTGATCATCTGCATTCTAGACAGTCCAACATTGCTGGAATATTGCTAAAACTGGTGCTTTACCTTAGCACTGACTTGACCAGTGTGATCATCTGCATTCTAGACAGTCCAACATTGCTGGAATATTGCTAAAACTGGTGCTTTACCTTAGCACTGACTTGACCAGTGTGATCATCTGCATTCTAGACAGTCCAACATTGCTGGAATATTGCTAAAACTGGTGCTATTACCTTAGCACTGACTTGACCAGTGTGATCATCTGCATTCTAGACAGTCCAACATTGCTGGAATATTGCTAAAACTGGTGCTTTACCTTAGCACTGACTTGACCAGTGTGATCATCTACATTCTAGACAGTCCAACATTGCTGGAATATTGCTAAAACTGGTGCTATACCTTAGCACTGACTTGACCAGTGTGATCATCTGCATTCTAGACAGTCCAACATTGCTGGAATATTGCTAAAACTGGTGCTTTACCTTAGCACTGACTTGACCAGTGTGATCATCTACATTCTAGACAGTCCAACATTGCTGGAATATTGCTAAAACTGGTGCTTTACCTTAGCACTGACTTGACCAGTGTGATCATCTGCATTCTAGACAGTCCAACATTGCTGGAATATTGCTAAAACTGGTGCTTTACCTTAGCACTGACTTGACCAGTGTGATCATCTGCATTCTAGACAGTCCAACATTGCTGGAATATTGCTAAAACTGGTGCTTTACCTTAGCACTGACTTGACCAGTGTGATCATCTACATTCTAGACAGTCCAACATTGCTGGAATATTGCTAAAACTGGTGCTTTACCTTAGCACTGACTTGACCAGTGTGATCATCTGCATTCTAGACAGTCCAAATTGCTGGAATATTGCTAAAACTGGTGCTTTACCTTAGCACTGACTTGACCAGTGTGATCATCTGCATTCTAGACAGTCCAACATTGCTGGAATATTGCTAAAACTGGTGCTTTACCTTAGCACTGACTTGACCAGTGTGATCATCTGCATTCTAGACAGTCCAACATTGCTGGAATATTGCTAAAACTGGTGCTTTACCTTAGCACTGACTTGACCAGTGTGATCATCTGCATTCTAGACAGTCCAACATTGCTGGAATATTGCTAAAACTGGTGCTTTACCTTAGCACTGACTTGACCAGTGTGATCATCTACATTCTAGACAGTCCAACATTGCTGGAATATTGCTAAAACTGGTGCTATACCTTAGCACTGACTTGACCAGTGTGATCATCTACATTCTAGACAGTCCAACATTGCTGGAATATTGCTAAAACTGGTGCTTTACCTTAGCACTGACTTGACCAGTGTGATCATCTACATTCTAGACAGTCCAACATTGCTGGAATATTGCTAAAACTGGTGCTTTACCTTAGCACTGACTTGACCAGTGTGATCATCTGCATTCTAGACAGTCCAACATTGCTGGAATATTGCTAAAACTGGTGCTTTACCTTAGCACTGACTTGACCAGTGTGATCATCTACATTCTAGACAGTCCAACATTGCTGGAATATTGCTAAAACTGGTGCTTTACCTTAGCACTGACTTGACCAGTGTGATCATCTGCATTCTAGACAGTCCAACATTGCTGGAATATTGCTAAAACTGGTGCTTTACCTTAGCACTGACTTGACCAGTGTGATCATCTGCATTCTAGACAGTCCAACATTGCTGGAATATTGCTAAAACTGGTGCTTTACCTTAGCACTGACTTGACCAGTGTGATCATCTACATTCTAGACAGTCCAACATTGCTGGAATATTGCTAAAACTGGTGCTTTACCTTAGCACTGACTTGACCAGTGTGATCATCTGCATTCTAGACAGTCCAACATTGCTGGAATATTGCTAAAACTGGTGCTTTACCTTAGCACTGACTTGACCAGTGTGATCATCTACATTCTAGACAGTCCAACATTGCTGGAATATTGCTAAAACTGGTGCTTTACCTTAGCACTGACTTGACCAGTGTGATCATCTGCATTCTAGACAGTCCAACATTGCTGGAATATTGCTAAAACTGGTGCTTTACCTTAGCACTGACTTGACCAGTGTGATCATCTGCATTCTAGACAGTCCAACATTGCTGGAATATTGCTAAAACTGGTGCTTTACCTTAGCACTGACTTGACCAGTGTGATCATCTACATTCTAGACAGTCCAACATTGCTGGAATATTGCTAAAACTGGTGCTTTACCTTAGCACTGACTTGACCAGTGTGATCATCTACATTCTAGACAGTCCAACATTGCTGGAATATTGCTAAAACTGGTGCTTTACCTTAGCACTGACTTGACCAGTGTGATCATCTGCATTCTAGACAGTCCAACATTGCTGGAATATTGCTAAAACTGGTGCTTTACCTTAGCACTGACTTGACCAGTGTGATCATCTGCATTCTAGACAGTCCAACATTGCTGGAATATTGCTAAAACTGGTGCTTTACCTTAGCACTGACTTGACCAGTGTGATCATCATCTACATTCTAGACAGTCCAACATTGCTGGAATATTGCTAAAACTGGTGCTTTACCTTAGCACTGACTTGACCAGTGTGATCATCTACATTCTAGACAGTCCAACATTGCTGGAATATTGCTAAAACTGGTGCTTTACCTTAGCACTGACTTGACCAGTGTGATCATCTACATTCTAGACAGTCCAACATTGCTGGAATATTGCTAAAACTGGTGCTTTACCTTAGCACTGACTTGACCAGTGTGATCATCTGCATTCTAGACAGTCCAACATTGCTGGAATATTGCTAAAACTGGTGCTTTACCTTAGCACTGACTTGACCAGTGTGATCATCTGCATTCTAGACAGTCCAACATTGCTGGAATATTGCTAAAACTGGTGCTTTACCTTAGCACTGACTTGACCAGTGTGATCATCTACATTCTAGACAGTCCAACATTGCTGGAATATTGCTAAAACTGGTGCTATACCTTAGCACTGACTTGACCAGTGTGATCATCTGCATTACAGACAGTCCAACATTGCTGGAATATTGCTAAAACTGGTGCTTTACCTTAGCACTGACTTGACCAGTGTGATCATCTGCATTCTAGACAGTCCAACATTGCTGGAATATTGCTAAAACTGGTGCTTTACCTTAGCACTGACTTGACCAGTGTGATCATCTGCATTCTAGACAGTCCAACATTGCTGGAATATTGCTAAAACTGGTGCTAATACTGCTATACCTTAGCACTGACTTGACCAGTGTGATCATCTACATTCTAGACAGTCCAACATTGCTGGAATATTGCTAAAACTGGTGCTTTACCTTAGCACTGACTTGACCAGTGTGATCATCTGCATTCTAGACAGTCCAACATTGCTGGAATATTGCTAAAACTGGTGCTTTACCTTAGCACTGACTTGACCAGTGTGATCATCTACATTCTAGACAGTCCAACATTGCTGGAATATTGCTAAAACTGGTGCTATACCTTAGCACTGACTTGACCAGTGTGATCATCTACATTCTAGACAGTCCAACATTGCTGGAATATTGCTAAAACTGGTGCTTTACCTTAGCATTGACTTGACCAGTGTGATCATCTGCATTCTAGACAGTCCAACACACTTGTGAGTCACACTTAATATGTGACAGCTTGTTTGTCTGAGTGAAAGATATTGACAAATGCTGGAGTAACAACTTTGTCTCATATGTATCTGTGCCACATACTGAAAAATAAAGTTACACTTTTCTGCATCATTGTTTTATTGACCATTCATGTTACATTCCTTGTCTCTGCAATGTGATACAGAGACTATGTTGAGAGTATAGGGAGAGAAGGCTTCACTTTCAAGACTTGTTTTCATTAAATACAACCATCTGTGCTGTTAGTAGTTGGATGGGGCCTTTGGGGTAGCCGAATGGTTAAAGTGTCTGCTTGGCACACCGAAGACCTGGGTTCGATTCACCACATGGGTACAATGTGTGAAGCCCACTTCTGGTTTTCCCCACCAAGATATTGCTGAAATAATGTAATTTTTCCATGGGATTTTTTATGCTTTTACACAGCCAGTGCTTGGCTGAATGAGACATTGGCTTCTGTGTGCAGGTCCATTACATGACCTTCTTGTGATTTGATGTTGCATTAAAATGCGAGCATCTTGTAAAGAACAACCATAATCTGCCTTTCTTTTTGTCGTTTTTTATAATATTTAAGGTCATATTTATGATAAAGATAAGTACAACATAATGTATGCCAAACTTTTTACAAATAAAAAATGAGATTGGATGTGGATGGATGGATCTAGAATGAGATTGGATGTGGATGGATGAATCTAGAATGGATGAATCTGCGTCCACAAATGATGCTGACAATTTCACTACACTGAAATAACACGAAAACTAAAGAGGTGAAGAGCAGGTGCCCTTTTGACACAGCAACCAGGAATGTACACAGGTTACCCAATCTCTAGCCAGTATTGGACGTTATCTGACCATGACCTTTACGACCTTTGACCGATATTGCTTGGTCGTTGTCAAGTGATAATCTCCCAGACCTTAGAAAATTATTTATAATCTCAAATTCAGCTCAAGTATAGTGATTTGGTAAGCCTAGACGTGTAGCCTTGCTCTTGGCTCCATTTTGATACTGCCGGTATAATATATGTAGATATTCATGTTCAAAAACATCACGGTTTGTGGAACTAAATGTTAACCTAATACATAGATAGTAGGTTCAGTTTAGTCTAGTTTGATCCAGTTTTATCAAACAAACTACTTCCCACTGGTCTCGTCCAGTGCAGACAAGCCACTTGGTGAAACATGACCTCTATTGACGTTGGTCAAGTGTTGTGGCTCCAAGGAACTGAATATTTGACACAGTTAAAAGCTTGTTGGCCCAACGGAAGATATCAGTTGTCAGATTTACATTTTCCAAGTTTTTATTTTTAAAAAATATTTATTGCACTTTTTTTCGTACGCAAAGTCAATATACAGTGAATAGTCCACTATTTCCAGACATTTCCTGGAAAATTTCCAAGTTTTGTTGTCTTCTACAGAGAAGCTCTTCCAATCCCTCATGGTTATAACACACCTGAATGTTCCCTCGCTATAGTCTTTACGTGTCTTCCCAATAAAGCTTCGTTTTCCTATAATCGTCTCCACGTTTCTTTATTACACCATGCGTTTTGATGAATTGATGGGTCAGAGACAAGTGTCTTTTGTTTGAGAGTGTTACCAGCAAATACACAGCGTGTATATTTCTGGCAAACCCAGATACATAATCTCCCAATTTCCACCAGCCGCCATTTTGGCCGGCAAGCCAGCGACCTGCGCAATTGTAAGGGGATGGAAATGTTTTGCAGGCAATTGGCTGTTTGCGTTGCTGAATGTCATGAGATTTCTGGAGCATTGCTGGTGTATGAACTATGTACTCGCCCTTTTTTCAGGCCACTTTTCGCGAACACCCGGTGTCCTCACTGATTTTCAGTGATCCATTCACATACGAGGAAATCCCAGTTTTTTTGTAGATGGACCAGTTTACCAGTGTGGGCAGAGTGCTGATGAACACTATTAGACAGAATATTGGATTGGCTAATTAGGAATCTGATGATGTCACATGTGTGTTTCAGATCATGTTGACACATGGCATGTGTCATCTCCTTGGCTACGACCACGAGACTGAGGAACAATGGCGGAAGATGTATTCCAAGGAGCTTCAGATTCTGGACGAGTTCAACAAGCTGACTGGCAAGACCTGCAAGCCTTTGACTGCAGTGGGGCACTGATCGACAAGCTTATCAACACAGCCTACCTAGTAGGGGGATCCTCAGTCGGACACTTAGTATTAAAGATCCACGAAGCATTCGTAGCATTACGATATTCGTAAGCCAATAATAAAGTACATGTATGTAGATACGATAGCTCGTAACTCTAGGAATGCTTTGTGTATCGGGCCCAGGGTCCATATCCTCAGACCTTAGCGGTCATTGATTTACGAGCTTTCGCGACTTGTGGTATATCATATGCTCACAAATATCGTATGTTACGAACGCTGTGTGGATCAGGCTCCCTGATTGTAGTCGAATTTAAAAGGGGCAAATGTGCATTCGAGATATCAGTTGAGAAATGGTTCCGATTCCAGGGGTCATATCCAATATAATCTTGACTGTATTAATCCATACATGTAAACGTTTCGGTTTTCATATCTCCTAAGGGGCGATGGGGTAGCCTAGTGGTTAAGGCGTTAGCTCGTCACGCTGAAGACCCGGGCTCGATTCCCCACATGGGTACAATGTGTTAAGCCCATTTCTGGTGTTCTCCCCCCTGCCGTGATATTACTGGAATATTGCTAAAAGTGGCGTAAAACCAAACTCACTCACTCACTCATATCACCTAATGTAATTTCAGGAGATTAAACACACACAAATCCAAATTTATGCATGACCTTTTATGCACGGATTGGTTAGGGGTCATTAATTTTCGGAATAGTTTGTGCCAGATGAAAATAGAAATATATGGTTGCTACTTTCTGTGATGAAAAATCCCAACTCATTCCTTGAAACGTGTGTTGATGATAAAACGTTCTGTCTCAAGCTGTTCCCAAAGAATATTCACTAGTGTTTCCTACTGTCTTACGGACGCAATAAATGTGTATGTTTAATGTGGACGGCTCTCCAAGGTGATGGTAGGTAGGGTCACGAATATCGGAACTCTGTGAAAATAGTCTTGTGAGTTTTCAAAATTTACTTTTGAAAATCACAGCATCCAAAAGTTTGGTTCTTTATGAATCTTAGGGTATGATATGCTGCTTACAAACATGTTGCGTGTGATTAAAACGGTTGTAGCGGGGTCGGGGTGGTTGTACAGTACGCGTCTTTTGGAAGTGTTGAGCTGTAACCATTATGCAATTTACAAACATAGCTGGCTGACTCGGTTGACACATGTCATCTGTTCCCAATTGCGCAGATCGATGCTCATGCTGTTGATCACTTGATTGTCTGGTCCAGACTCGATTATTTACAGACCGCTGCCATATAGCTGGAATATTGCTGAGTGTGGCGTAAAACTAAACTCACTCACTCAATGGAGAATCTGGGTTTTAGATGTAACCTTTGTAAGTTTAAGATGAACCTGACAGTGTTTTCGGATGTTATCAAATCGCTGCAAGTAAATTAACAATACAGTAAATTACGGTTATAAGGAGGTCAAAGGGTCGCTAATTGAGTTCGTTATAACAATAGTTCATTTCGACCAAATATACAGCAAATAGCTGGGAGAAGAAACTCCCGTTATATCAGCCAGTCCGTTTTAAACGGAGCTTATTGTACTATGTTCAGTGTAGAGTCTCTTACGATTATCTCTGTAGTGTTTAGCTATTTAAGTGCAAACCCTTCGTAATAAGTTATATTTTGGTTTACACTTCCTTATACATACATACATACTAACATTTGTATAGCGCCGATATTGTCAATCTCAACTCCCTGGGGAGCATACAACACTTGCAGCCACTAGGCACCGTGTTACTGTGGCATTCCCATCCTTTCGAGGTACCCATTCACAGCTTATTGTGTATTCATGAATAACACTTATTTAAATGTTCTTGTATTGGCGCGGGCTTTGTTTTTTATCCTTAGGTATATCCAATATTAGCGATAGGTGGTATGTAAGCATGCATATTACTTTTTTTCTGAACCGAAATGTGAAAGAAGACCGTTTGTGAACGAGGGTAAAGGAGGCTTGTGTGACATGATTCACAGACTAGCACTGGTCTTCAGCAAGAGGATCGCCGTAAGAGGCGACGAATGGGATCGGGTGGTCAGGCTCGCTGACTTGGTTGACACGTCATCGTATTCCAGTTCATGCTCATGTTGTCCCAACTGCGTAGGCTGATGCTCATGATGGTGATCACCGGAATGTGGGTTTCAGTCTCGATTATTTACAGCCATACAGCTGGAATATCGCTGAGTGCGGCGTTAAACTAACAAATAAATGCAAAAAAGTCCCCTCTGATTGTATGCAAGAACGGTGACTTTCCAATAGTCCTTTCATGTCGAGCAATATGCTATACACACGGTAGACACGTGGAGCAAATGTCCATCACTAATCACGATGGTGGCCAGAGCGTACCATAGTTGCCTTGATGTTTATTGTAGTTGAACCTGTCTTTCCGTGTGTTTGTTACGAGTGTCGCCCGTGGGGCAAGATATGCTCACCTTTTTGTATGGAAACCTGCGCATAGTGTAGATGGAAGTTACAGTGGACAATGCTTATCGTGTGGAAAGGGTTTTGTCGCTTTTATGTGAATGACATTGAAAATTTCCATGCACAAAACGAGCGTCACAACTCCGACTAAAACATGAATATGGGAACCTAAATTTGAAATACCCCTAACAGTATTGCAAAAAAATGTTAATTATCCCAATTTCCGGGTAGAACATGTCCAGTGTTCTAGTCAAGTGGAGTGAGGACGTGGGTGAAGTAGAATAAGACGCAACTGTCTGAAGGTGCTATTCGCCGAGTTGTATGTAGTGTGTATATGACGTATGTCTGGTGATATAACTGTAGTAGCTTTCTAGAGATGAGTGTATTGCGGGGTTTTTTTTGCCGGGAGCTTTTTCCTATTGTACTTTGTGGTTGGTGACTCTCCAGCAATAAAACTATTTCTACTGTATCCCGTGTGTCCTTATTCCTTGAGGGTCGGTGGCTTAGCCTAGTGGTTAAAACTTCAGCTCGTCACTGACTTACGCCGGAGGCGCGGGTTCGATACCCCACATGGGTACAATGTGTGAAGCCCATTTCTGGTGTTCCTCCACGTGGTATTACTGGAAATTGTACGTAATCGTCACGTAATCGTCACGTAATCGAAAGAACATCCAAAGGTTCTGGATCATTTTTAAAACACGGATTTCCTTAGAAAGAGGTTAAGACAGTCGGTTGAGCATTACGTCACATGACGGCACTGAAAGTTGCATGGTAAACTACTCGGCCTTACGTAATGAGACAATACTGTGTTACTAAAGGTAAGTTAGGGTTGACGTGATACGATAGAACAGTATTGTACGTCCGAGGTTTAGCACAAAAAGATATGTCTTAACAGTACAATGTTGTACGTCAAAGGTGAGCCCAGAACGACTTGGTAAAACGGCGTTACAAAGAGTTACCTGCCGCAATATTACCAGCAGCGTAAAGTAACACTCACTGAGAACACTACATTGCATGACAGCAGTGCCACACAGGACCACACTGTCTGTGGCGGGATAACAGTGTGTGTGGTGGGATAACCCTACGTTTCGGGATGAAAGTAAATAACATTAGACAAAGGGCAGTACGTGCGGGTTAACGCAGTACGTCACAACACAGCACTATACGCCACGGGGTCACAGGATGTGTATTAAGATGACAAATGTCACCACAATATGTCGCACAGTGACACTACGTCTCAACATGGCGACACGACCATGTCCATAACATAACACCTGGACAATGTACACTTCATGAGATACCAGGGAGGAATAGATCTACAGAACCCAGTGCTTGTAAAGAGTTAACTTTTAAAAACGAGTGAGTGATTTCTCGGGCGTGGGTCATGTTCTCGCGAGGCACGGATGTTCAGGTATACCCTTATGTAGCTTTGTAACCCAGTCTGTAAGAACAGAACGTACAGGGGGGCCTGGAAGTTTTGCGAGGCGCTACCTCCGGTACTAAACTGGTTCCTGGTTCCCGGCTCCCTTTGCGCGCGCCAACTGTGACAAGCGTATATTCACGAACCAGTTCTGATTTCAAATTGGGCGAACGCCAAATATGACTTTACTAGACCGGACCAAGTGTACAACCAGGCTTGTCTGTCACAGCTGTTGACAGTCGTAATAGTCGTAATAGTTAAGGTTTTGGGTCACTTCATGATGGAACAATTCACACCAAACTGTTAAGATGCTTGTAGCATACCGACGCTTCACCATCAGCTCCTTCTGTACACACTTAAACATTGTCAAACGGTGAACTGGTCAGGCGTAGTAGGATGTACATGTTTCTATTAAATTCAAAACACAATGATAGAGACAAATGAGTACATTTCAAGAGTCTGCAGATAAGGATTCTATAATGTTTCAAAAGTATACAATAACTATGACAATTCCAAAAATCATGCCCCATTTAAGCAGATTCGTCTCCCCTACGAATACATTTGTCCTTTTTCTAGGTTCTGCATTGTGGATTATGTACAGTCGAAAGCGGACCGATGAATTGCAATCTAACTCGAAAACTAATACATATATAATGCTCAATGAAACGCTGATCATACTCAAAACATCAGACCAACTCTGTTAGTTTCTAGCGGAATTAATGTCCTAAAACTAAAAAAGGTTATTCAACAAACTCATTAAAATCTTGACAAAGTTCACTATTTGTTACAAGGGAGGGGTGCAAAGAGAGGAACAGCCAAGTGTACGAGAAGCACGTGCACAAGTGCCGACAAAGTTATTGATTCATTTACCTGTGCTGTGCCGTCTCCATCCTTTCTTGCTGTTCTTGCTGTTTCTCTCTTTTTGTTTGTTAAACAACTTTTTTTAGGACATAAATTCTGCAAAACAACTCACAGAGTTGATGGTCTGATGTTTTGATTATGATCAAAATCAGTGAGTATTATATGTTTATTAGTTTCCGAGTTAGATTTCAATGCATCGGTCCGCTTTTGGGCTAACTGTAGTTGTCGTCTTCAAAGCAACGCTCTGTACTCACGGCGAGAGATGAGACAAGGATAAAGAAACTGCAGGGGGCATATATTCGCAGGTGATGCAACTCGATGTTGTATTCGATTAATTAAACATCTACATAAGGGTTTGCATCTCATTGAAAATGCAAGGTGAAAAGCTGCTGAACATGATAAGATGTTGTTCCGAAACATATAAGTTATGTATAGCAACTGGTCGTATTTCATGCACTTTGATTATCACATGCTCAGGAACAGACCTTATCGTGTTTTCCAATACGACTGATAATACTGATACAAATCTGATCAAACCTGAAAAGACTTTCTCGTGTTCAAATATACTATTCACACTTTGCTAAGGATCAAATCATGGATTCAACAGAAAACTATGATGTGGGGTCAAATTTGCTTTAAATATCTAAGCTAATTGTTAGCACGGATCCTAGGTTTCAGTTTGTCATTGCATCTTGTTTAACCAATACCGCTATTGACAGGTGTTGTTTATTTGTCAATGACTCTTTCCTTGATTTGCAAAATGGTTCATTGGTGCGATGAAAACCATTTTTATGGTTACTCATGTATCAAGTGCATAAGGTTATATTAAAGTGGCTGTTTGCCTAAAGAGGGGTTACCATATCATTATTTATCCAGTTTTAAATGGATACAAATTCAAATTATAAATCTACGTTTAAGTAAAGTTGTGATCTTTTTGTGATCCTTATCAAAGCGTGAGTAGTATATTATCTGAAATCAACAATTTTGACACGTTTTAGACTTACCTCAACATTTAATTCAATTGTAAGTTCTGGACTTATATACTGAAAGCCATTACAAATGATGTTGCCGATGTGACGTTAAATAATAACTCACTCATTACAAATGCAATTTGACATTCATACTTTCTTTACTCACACTAATTTCAACATATATAAACCTAACTGGCAGATATGTTTAAGTGAACATCTGTGAATAATTTCATCTGAAAATGTCCAGTCAACAAAAACATCAGTGATGCAACAACGACATCACACAAAGGACTTGCAGTCAATATCGTGTGTGTCCA